ACTTGAATGTGCAACTGACCGGTTTCTCGACTCTCGTACGGCGCCGTAGCACGTAAACGCGAAAAAATTTATGACGTCGTTATCCTTGATCCTATTTCGGGATTACGATGCGACAGCAACAGGAGCATCGAAGCGCGCGGGCGCGCACGCGGCAGTGGGAATGTGTATGTGGAATCGCACGTACATGCGTGTATGATCGTGCACAATTTTTCTTGTTTTTTTTTTTCGATCGCCGCAATATTTTAATTTCCGCGGACAGATCGTGCAGGAATGTCGTCTCGTTCTGTTCGCCGCGGCTCTTTGGACTTTACAGACCTCGGTCACAGCGGTTGTACGGGATTGCAACAGCGACGGTGACCAGAGGCAACAAAAGTGGTAGGGATGGACCGAGGAAAGAGATCGAGCGAGACAGTGCGGGGGACGAGCCGCGCGATAATCCCTCTACGTCTAAGAACAACCGCGTCCAAGTCGCGGCCACGACTGTTTGCTTTTCACAGACGCAAAGCAAACGAAAGCAACATCAACATTCGCACGTGTCAGTCGGTCAGTGCCGGATCCATCGCGCGTGCGCAAAGTGCGCGTTCCTCGACAAAATGCCTAATTCGAATGAAAGAGGGTGCCACTTGATCCTTTCTATGTGGCGTCTGACGATCTTTATTTCATTATTTTTTTCTCCACAGAAATGATTGATCCACATAGCAATTTAATTGGGCTTACAATCTTATATTTAGCGATCCCAAGGATTCGAGCTCAACATAATTGCGAATACTTGCATTTATACGTCATGCACACATTTCCTAGTAGCAATTTATTAGCTACCCAGATAACAAATTTCGTGCAGAAGTAAAGCGGAGTAATTTATTTACTGAGACTTGTTGCCGTGATAATGGCAAAAACATTTGCTAAATAAAATTTGACTTGCATGTTGCCATAATTTTGTCATCAAATTTTTGATGATAAGCAAAATTGCTTCAATTTCGCAGAAATATTGCCATAATCAAACACTTTTACCACAATTGTTGCCGCAAAGTTACTCTATTACAGTTTGTGTGTTTCTTTGCTTGCAATATTGCATCAAATGAAGATTCATCTTGTTGGCAAATTACTTGCAACATTTTTAAGCAAATTTTCAGTAAAATGCTGGCAAAATGTAGGTAGTGATTATAGTTGAACGTTAGGAATATATGTAATGGGAGGGGGGGGGGAATGACTACTATTTTTTTATATTGTGCCAATAAGTTGTAGGACTTAAAAGACTGGTTGTAGAACTTTAAAGACTGTTATGACTATCGCAGAGCAGTAAATGTTTGCACAAAAGCAAGATACGTGTATAACATCAAAAACAAGATTCATATATTTTTAATGGATCAAAATAACGCAAATCTAAGTTTATTTTTATTTACTTCTTAAGTAAAAAAGAGTTTTTTTTTTGTAAATTATGTAAAAAGAAAATTTCTTGGAAAATCATAAAGAGTGTTACTGTCCAAAGATATTCTTGTATGCAATTAATTCACAATGTGATATTTACTCGAGAGAGTCATTTAAAGTGCGATTTTCATACTGTTGATATTATATCGCGCGCGGTAATTTTTCGTTCTTACAATTATATTCTTCGAAGAATATAATTGATGGAAATATAAATTCTCGGTGACAAATTAATTATATAACGATATTAAACAAGATTATAATAGACCTATATAGCGAAGTTAAATAAATTAAACCAATCGGGGCCGCGAATCGTATCTACAGAATGTATCGCCGTAATTCATTCTGAGAAAAACATTTGTATGTAAATTTGTTTATTTCTGGCAGCGACGCAGCCGCACTAACTTAACAGGAATTTTATTGATATGAAAGAAATTTGTCCTACTATTATAAATAGAGTCGCGTATATTATTAGAAAAGAATTAGAGAGTAAAATAAAAAATAAGTCTATTTTTAAATGAATGCACATTTAAATGAATGCAATGAAAATAATATCGCGATGTCAAAAATAATAAATGCGTTTTTCGTATTGCAATATTTGCATATAATGATAATAATGTAACCTCATTATAATGAGGATTGTAGTGAAATTTCCCTTATAATGAAAGTTGAGAAATCTTGCATCGCGATGTAATGTATATCATTATATTGCTAATTTAATATGTGTTGACATCGATAAATGCGCTTAATTTAAAGATTATTTGACTTTATTTATTTGTATACAAAGCACATATCTTATCTGAAACGCACGTATACTACAAAATATTTCTTATTTTGTGTATGTGTGTGTGTGTGTGTGTGTGTGTGTGTGTGTGTGTGTGTGTGTGTGTGTGTGTGTGTGTGTATAAAACTACAATTAATTGAATATCTTTGTAATTTTTATATGCACGTTTAAAATGTTCCACATAAATTTGCATAATCTATATTAATATTAATATATATTGATATTAACAAATAATATTAAGAGTTACAGTAAAAATTAAATAACTTTAAATTATTAATGTATTAATATATCAAATCAGTAATGTAATGATATACATTAATATTAATATATGTATATTAATTTAAAATTAATGTAAATACAACGAAATTATGAAATCTTTTTTTACTTGCAAAGTAGTAGGGAACTTAAAAATCAAGGAATAAGAATTAATAAAGTAAACATACTTTTGGTGTATAATATTAGGTGTAGTAAAAAGAAATCCATTATTTTTGCATGAAACTGAATGGAAAAATAATGGATTTCTTTTTACTACACCTAATATACATTCTCTGTATTCTAATATTCTGGCAATAAATTTCTGTTTATATTTATCTAAACAGAACGTCCTATTTCATATAATAACTTGTATCTATGCTTGTGTTTCGATATTTAACCGCATTTCTAAAATACATAAATATATATCAGACTTTCTGAAGATAAATTACAAACTATATGACAAATAAATAAATAAATAATAAATAAAGTACGGCCAAAATTCGTCCAACATGAAACCTATATAATATAGGATATTCCTCTTCTGCCGCATTAATCATTTCTGAATCCTTTTGGAATCGATTTTTCCTTAGCGAAAATATTCGAGAGAAATATCGTTAATTGTAATTTTTTATCTTTAGCAAAACTTCTTTTTTCTTCTTTAGAATCTTTAGAATCAATTAAAATACATTAATCGAATATAATTTTGTCATGTTTTTTACAGTTTGTCAGAAGCTTCTTATTCTTAATTGTTACTTGAGAAATTATTGATACCTCGATATTTCTCTTGAAAAAAAATTAATTCCAAATTGACTGGGCGATCTGTCAAAAAAAAATAACGTAGTGCAAGTGGGACACCATACATGCGTTTCAACGTTACTTTCCCTTGCAAGTATGTAAAAAAAATTATTTATTAATATGATTAAGAAATCTGTCGAAGTTATATCGCGCAACTTTTGCGATTCGCTGATGTATATCGTAAATGTATATCGTAAAAGATGACACGCATCACATTGCATTCTTCAATGAGGATTCCTCGTGGATCGATTCTCATTTCGATTAGTTGTTATTGGTGGTTTCAGTTGGACCAAAGAACGGCAGGAATATATAGTTTAAGCTGCAGGTGGAACAGGCGGCGGTCGAAGCATTGACCTGGTGGCCGAGGAAAGTTTCTGCGACACCAAATGCGCAATATGCGACGATCTCTTCCACACAAACTCCCGCGTTCGATCATGATCGTCTTGGCTTTCCACTCGAACCTGATTTAAAAAAAAAGGAAGAAATAAATATTTGGTTTACTGAACACGGACATGAATACAAAGTAAGTTTTTAAGCAAATGGAGTAGTCGCTATTTATTGCTGTCTTTATATTATGCTGTATATATATATTCTATAATTGTTTCGTTATGTCAATCTTCGTTTCAAATCTGATATAGAATTTCACATCGAGTTGTAACAATCGTAATATTGATATACATTAAACTAATAAATACAATATAATTTAGGAAAATTGAATTTCTCTCTTCAAAAAATATTTATCTGCTATTCGAAATATAGTGAAGATAAAAAGTATTTATACAATTATTATAAATACGTTCTAATATAAACCAAAGAGAGAGAGAGAGAGAGAGAGAGAGAGAGAGATTTCTATTTTTAGATTTTTAATATATTTTAAAAACTTCTTAAATTTGCATGAATAATTTAATATTTAATTGTAACTTAGAATTCAATTATATATTAATAAAAATAATCAATAAAAACAAGAGAAATCGAGAAAGAAGTTTTTAAGAAATTTAGTCGGTATGATCGAACATATGACACAAAATCATCTACTCATTGACTTGACGTTCTAGTTCCATGTTGATATTTACGCGTTGTTATAACTGTTTTTCTTCTCTGTCGATGTACCTGTTTAGGTTGCAAAACTCGAATAGAATGCAGCGTCGCCGCACCGCCGTGCAACACACGAAGGCTCAGCTTGCCAGACATCTCGGCTGTAGTAGCGGTCGCGCTCCTCAGCTCCTTTTTCGCGGCCCTGCCAAACTCTTTCTCGACTTTCAGCACCAGCGGTCCCAGACTGAACTTAGTCTTAATTGTCGTGTGATCGCTCATCATGTTCACCGATACGTCTCCCGTCCTCTGCAAGGATGCCAATCCATACAGAGTGGCTCTTGCTTTTGGTCTGCTTTTAGACTTGGTCTAAAAATCGCAAGAAAAAACTCATTATATACTCATTTTTGTTCATATCGAACAATTGTGTCATTCTTAAATCTATCTAGATTCAAATCCAGATTTTTAATTACCTTGTTCTTGCTACTTTGATTTTTCGTCTTATTCTTCGTTCGTTTGCGATTTTTGTTAAAGTTCTTATTGTTCTTATTCGTCATACGTCTATTATTAGATCTCATTTCTGCACGAGATTCAAATGAAATCGGTTCTTTTTCCATTTCGTTTGTTTGCGTTACAGATTCAATGGTCTGCGTGACTTTCTGTAAATATAAATAATATACGTATACTGTGTAACTTTTTGTAAATATAAATATTACATACACACACACACCCACACCCACACCCACACACACACACACACACACACACACACACTCGCGCGCGCGCGCGCGCACACACGCACGGACGCACGCACGCACGCATTGGAAAAAGAATGCTTAAGAAGAATCTCATACCTCGATATTATTTTCATTGTCACTCTTTTCAGTATCGATCGGCCTTGAGGCGCTCTTCTTAGTACCATTCTTGGTGCCCTTCTTCTTAGTCTTGTTTTTGTTCTTCTTGGAGCTTGAATTTGAATTCGTTAGTTTCACAGTCACTGGTTCATAATTGGCCCGCAGAATATTGTTGATCTTGCTGAGAATATTGTCGACCAATCGATTATATTTTGCTACATAAATCGCTGACACGTGACCACTCGAATCGGAGTCCATGGCACCTAGATCGTTAATAGAAATTGTATCAGTCAATTTCTATACTTTTCCGGATATTCTTTGCGAAAGTTCATATGGAATACTATCTTTAACATTAGAACAGATATTTGCATTCTGAAATTATTCAAATTGCGACATTTTACCACATATGAAGTATGTATTATTTTTTTATTTAAAGTAATTAACTATTTTAGATCTTTGACTAATCGGTGACTATGATCAAATGATTGATTATGGATCAGTACAAATTTATATACATATTGTAACAGATGCTGGTATTATATGTGAATGTATTACGATCATTAATTTATAATTTAAAAAAATTTTGTGCTACACCATCACCTCTACCAGCCTAAGCATTACTACTTGATAATCTCTACTCTTCTTCAAAAGTCATCAGTTTACAAATGGTGAACTCATCAAAATCGCTCGTTATGAATTCGGAGATCGAGGGACTTTAAAAATATCCGATTCGAGATAAACAGAAAGGGAGAAAGAGTGGCTTTTAGGAATGCGCTCCGATTGCGTCCTTGAGACCACTTTTCGTGAGGTCATTTCGTCTCGTCCGGGTCATCGACCAGGGTGAGACCGTACCCGACGTTGCCTTCCGGAGCTCCGCGAACCGTCTCTGGGTTTTAATGAAGGGAAACGCATTCCTCTCCCCGCTGATTACCTTGGAAGGAAGTTGGCGTTTGCTGATCGAGGAGGAGCCTACTTATTTAAAGCGACGACAATGTTAACGGTATATCGGAATCCTTCGGCGCGGCCAAACTGGTCCCCAATCTAGGCCATGACCTCCTTTTTCGCTACATAACTCACCTACAGACCTATCTAGCCGCGCAAGTCCATCCAACTGCTGCCTACCAAAAAACTCTCCCCCGGTCGTTGCACTTCCTACAGAACGTAAGCACGACTTTCTTTCGGACGTCACGATGCCGTGCCACGCCGCGGTGAAAATCTCATATGCCACGGACAATATTATCAAGGCCGTTTACTTCTGGCACAGACGGAGGCATTGAATGCTGAGGTCTTGGTCGAAGTTCAATTGGAACTTCTCAATAATGTGTACATACATGATAATAGCTTCACTGTATCCTCGAGAATCTTATTTGGCGTATTGTAGAGGAATCCTTTACAACGCGACTGACCCAAATAAATTTTCTTCAAGAGGCATTTTATTTAGTTTCAAAACAAAAATAACTCGATACCATAAAACGTTTGATATATGACATGATTCAAATTTAATCTTTATAGACTAAATGCTTATTAAAATATTAATCAAAAATTTAGCAGAATCAAATAACGAATATATTATATGAGACAATGATGATTTTTATTTAAATTTACTCTCTTTAGATAATAAACTCTTTAATTAAATACGAGAACACATGAAATATTATATCTTCAAAAATGTGATTATTCAACATATTCATCATCTTGTTATATCTATTGGATAAAAGTAAATGATATTTCTTACATGACTCATGATTATAATTTTGATCTTTATTTTTTATCTAGTTCTTTATTCTTTATCTATCTTATTTTCCGATTCTTTTCATATTTATTTTTATGCACATTATTAATATTTTTTCAAGTAACTAATTTAACATTAAATATTAAAGCAACAATAATTTGCTGCAGTAATTGTTTAAACAAAAGATATCAACTCTCACGTGAAGAACATATTTTATCTTACATATTTACAACAATTATTCAAGCGACAATGTAATATTTCATCCATTGCAATCGAATATTCCAGTAAAGGAGTCGACATATCATTAATTTAGTGTAAGACGTAAACAGATTATTGTCTTCAATCATCTCACCTTTGAGGAACGAAACAGGTCAGTCGGACCTACATATGCATGTATAAAAGCATACGGAAAGAGATTATATATATAAGATAAGAGAGATATATATTAAATCACGATTTAGGCATATATATATATATATATGTCACGTGACAGATACCGAAGGACATCATTACTTCGTAACTTCGACTATGGGTCAGGGTCGCAATCGGAGGCTCTTCCGACATCGCTTACGCGATGTGTTCTCCGGGTCAGTGACCTCGTTTCTTTTTCGACCGGCTATTCCCGGTGAAAGCCGAGAAAAAATTTCAATGCGGTCACACCTTTGTTGGATTTAACCCGACACTCATGTAGAAAGTTAATTGGATGTGGCGCGCGACGGTTAATTAAGAATCTCGATTCATAAACTGATGGCGGCGATTTGTTTAATAAACATCAAGTCGAACGGTTTTGTTCCTGTTACTTCCTCTTTAGTTTTACCCGAAGTTAATCGAAGACTATACCGAAAATATACCGAAATGATATTTGCGATTGATAATAAATTCACATACAATACAAATGTCCAGAAATGTTTAAATTGTAAGCGCACAGTATCGTCTATGTAATAAGAACTAATGAAAGATAGAAAATTAAAGTAGAACTACTAAAGATATATATAGTCAATAGGACAAATCACAAAAGCAAACTATATATATATATAGGACAATCACAAAAGCAATCTATTTAAGATAGATGATCCAGGAATAGATGATGCGAATGGCAAAAAGAAAAGCGCTATAATAAAAAAAAAGACATTTGCAGAGTGTGCCATTGGATTAAATTTTTTTTCGTTTGGTTATCAGCTACTTTTTTTATCAACTATTAGTTAGTTACTAACTACTAATTTTACTATCTACTTGGAAAGATATAAAAGTACGGGAAGGATGTACATTAAGGAACATAGATGAAGGACGAATGTCGTGCTACTGTCCAGGTACACGTTGTTGCAGTCGATCGTCCAAAACCGTCCACCAAATACGTGATCATCTCTACTGGCAGAAAATACAGCTGAAGCGACAATAAGTATGAGCAGCTATATGATGGTCGAGAAACGAGTGATAAGAAAAAAAAGCAAGTAAGTATCTTGTATCAAATTGATACAAGATATCAGGAAAAGAGAAATGTGTCACTATCGAATGAATTTAAATAATCAGACGGTTACTTCACGTCATGTCACAAGAAGACGGAGAACACGCCCTTTCCTCAGCCGAAGATCGAAATTGATAATAATTTCATCGAGAAAATATAAATTTCGATACGCGAAATCTGCTCGTCGCTTCATCGCGACGATCATTCGATTTTCCCCGCGTTTGTGATATCGAAAGTGAATCGAAATTATCTTAATCTTCAGCTTTGAGCGGAAGAGATTCGCGATTTGAAATTTGCCAAAGGAAGGAAAACAGAGAGAATTCATCCTCCTGGATCACGCGAATCGCAAGTGTATCTGGACACAAACGACTGATTCGATGCAACTGGACAATGGTAAATAAAATAAATAAACGGTACACATAGCTTTGTAAAAATAATAAATTATTTGTATTTTGCAATCCAGAACGGACAATGTCTCTGTACAAGTCTTGATCTAGAGTAGAGAAACATCGTAAACAAACAACATATCTCTCGATTCGCGCGGAGCAATTGACATCGTCATTGATTGTGCTTAATCTGGCAAGTGATAGGCAACTATCACTTAATAGAAATGCAATATAAAATATAAATTTATATATAATATAA